TAGGACTTCAGGAGCATATATATATATATATGAAAAACAAACCAAATATATGTTGAGTTTTCAATCCAATGAATGTTTTATTAAAAAATGAAAAAAACATATATATATATAGATATATATATATACGTTTTTTCATTTTTTAATAAAAACATTCATTGGATTGAAAACTCAACATATATTTGGTTTGTTTTTCAAATTATTCCTCTTAACACATTGACACAAATAAGTAAGAAGCATTGCAAGCAAATGACAATAGCAAAACCAAAACACTCCCATTATAATCAATAAAGCTGTCTACACCAGCTGCCAATGGCAGAGCATGATGCTTTGTGATGTGACACAGCATTTTTCAACAGACTCCCCGTTTCTCTTATTGATGTGACCATATTCAGGATTTTGGAAATACTGAGGTCCAAAAACTGAGCTTGCTAGGCGGGCTCAGGGACATGCTTTTCTTTTGTGAGTTTGAACAAAGCTGAATGTATTAGGTATGTTGCAACCATAGCTGGCTCAGAGTTTCCATGTTTCTTGTCACATGGTCAATAAAAGGGTAGAAGAAATTGGTAATGTTCTTCTTTTGATTGTGAGGGGGTCCTCTTTGTTTTGTGAGGGGGTCGTCTTTGTTTTGCTGCCAACTGGTTACGTGCATTTTTTACTGGAACCACGTTAGTGGTGCTGGCAAGTTCTGTTGACTTTTCGTAAATTTCACTGAAGCCCACCACATTAGTGTAGAAATGACATGAGCTACCCACTTTGTAGGCAGTCATAAGGTCAAGATTTGATAACTGTAACTAGTCAGTCAATGGCTGTAGGCTAGAATTTTGTTGTGACCGCAGTGACAAATGTGTCAAATGACTCTCTATACTTTTTTGTAGGTTAGTAGACTTGTTGGAGTTTGATTATGTTCCTAATTCTATTTCTGTGAGTGCAGAGTGGGCTGCATTGAAGTGATGCAGAAAAGCACCTACTGTCTTCCCTCTGGCACCCTGTTGTGTGTCCAGCATGAGTGGGATGCCTCCTGTTTTTCTTTTGTCACTTGCCTGTTTTTCCTTGCTTCTTTTTGGTTATTCTGGTAACATGTTCCTCCTAATAGCAGACATGGCTTGGGCAGTGTGTGAATATTTCCCATGGTTGAAGCTCTCTAATGTGTTGCTGTCCACTCATATGTCCTTGCATTGTGCTGGTGCCATCATAGCCCACTGAGATATTCACCTATTAATCTCCAGACTCTACTTCTCCTACTGAAAGGGGATGGCTTCTTTTAATAGGGGCAGCATTTTGCTTGGCAAAAAATTCATTCTTAGACAGAAAAAATCATTTTGTATTTCTTATGTCGTTCAAACTGCATCTTTTTATCCAGCTAAACCTGAACATAAAAGAATTACTACACATGGGGGAATGGGGGAAGGTCGCTAACAGAAAAGCATCACACAAAGATGATGAACACAATTAAGCAGAACCAAGTTGTAACACCTATTACAACTAATAAACAAAAATATTGGAACCAGTAAATTTATCTAAACAAAGGCGCACAGCATTCTTGGAGTCCTCTACATGCTCCTCTCTGCTTTCCCGAATGGCCCTAACCCTAAGGCCAGTGGCCGTGCCACACTACTTAGTACATGTTACTTCCTATTTCCCAAACAACTACCAAACACTCACGACAGAACATAAGTAAGAGGACATGGCAACCAAGCACTCCAAACTCAGTAAGTAGACAATATTATATATAATTAACTTTTTATTAGTTTATTTGTCTGTCTGATTGACATTAGTAGCCAATTTTACACAACCAAAATTTTTAGTCATTGACAGTAGCACCTAATGCTCTCAAAAGGTGTTTCCAACAGTGGATCATGTATGTTAGTAAATTTCATGTACAGAAAACATATTACAAAATACTCCAGTGTATCAACAATTTATTACTAATGTGGTTCTTTTAATCATATTCTTTAGTGCAAAGTAACCAAATCTGTAGACAAAGTTTACTAAAAGCACCAACCTGGGTTTGGTACTTAGACAAGGTTAGTATATAAATTAGATTCATTCAGTTCTAACACATAATTTGATTGTAGCAGTAATAATCTGATTAAGCATAATCAGATGTATTAACTGCAGTTAAACCATGATCTTGTGACTTGACCTCTAAGCATAGTTTCTGTTTTGCTTGCACTCTTCAAGTTAAAGCATGCTTACACAATAAACTTTAAAATGAAATGCAGTTAGAAGAATCTCCAGATGTTCGATTGTTAGCAAAATATCCAGAAATAACAGTGTTAAAGTTGAGGCTGGTATAAGGGACAGGTTTAGGCTTAGGATGAGGGTGAGGTTTCGGTTTCAGTTTTGGTTCAGGGTTAAGGTTAATGTTAGGATTAGTTTGGGCCAGGATTAGGTTAGGGAAAGTCAAAGTAATTTTCAGTTTATTAGTTTAAAATAAGTCAAATGCGATGTAAGAATGGACAAAGACCCTACAGTGGGCTAAATAAAATGTAACCAAACAGTGTAATCCATGCATACCTCATCATACCCAGCTAGGCCTGTTTACTGACAGCCACCAAGAAGAGGGCCCCACCTTTCCATTTCTGTCCTCCATTGCGCACTTTTTAAAAAAAAATAATGCTTTTTTGAATAAATTATGAATTCTGTTTTTTTCAGAAGAAGTAATCTAGAGCTGCAATGACCTCTTTTGCTTTTGGCCTTTATTTCATCTCCTTTCCCCTCAGAAAGTTACCACTGATCATCAGATATGGGACAAGCAAGGAGGGCCCACCCAGTATGGCGCCTTCCATCCACTGGCGGCTCTGACAATGAACCCATCTGTTCCACTATTGAGGAGAGGGTAGCCATCCCACCTAATAGTTCTGAGGTATATAAAGACCACACAGTGTGCACATGTGCATATTTAATTCGTAATTTAAGAAGATACCTATGAGTTCTGTTTACATTGGCTTTATGTGCAATTACCGTTTCTCTACAGGGCTGTCTAAAAAATAGAAGGGAAAAATACTATTAAAAAGCAAAGCAAAGCAGCATTTTTTGTATAATATTATAATCAACAGGATGCGTGTTATGTGTACACACACTAAAAAGGAAAGATGCCAAACAGGTTCTTTCAATTTCATGGAAGAATCATCTTTCAGTTCCTAAGAAACTTCTCAGTGGATGGTTCAAAAATGCCATGTGTCTCCAATATAGATACACAAGCTTTTGACCCCTTTCATCGAATAGAATGAAGTGGCAAAAAACAACTTCAGATACTTCTTTTAGATGTAAACATTTTACATTTATTTACCGCACAATTCAAAAATGATTGTGGTAACACTTTCTATGAATGTCACGTTTGTAAGCCTCTATAAACACATTTATAACATGTTACAATGCATTCATATGGCATTATAAACATGATTATAAACATTTATAAAATTGAATTACACTTTACAGCCATGTTTATTATACATTATGAATTGTTAATATAATGCATTATAAGTAGTGTCGATAACATGTTGTACTGTCAGTGCCAATGAAGTCAGTCCTAGCTTGGAGAGTGTAAAGTAAAGACAAATACCAAGCTAACGGTGGTGTACATTACCTTTCCCACATTGGGTAAAACACTGATGGCAGCACTAGTGTAAAATCTGAAGCCTGTAATGTGCTTTATTATGTATGTTTTAGTGTTTCAGTAAATCCTTCAGTAAATACTTCAACTTGTAGCCTCACTCTTAACACTGGAGGAGGCTTTAGTACAGTATGCTTCACTTTACTTAAAGCAGACAAATACCATACTTATGAGCTCTTATAATATGTTATGACCAGTACTTATAATGTATTATGTTAACAATTCATAATGCATAATAAGCATGGCTATAACGTGTAATGCATTTTTAGAAATATTTATAGCCATGTTTATAATGTCTTATGAATGGATTATAACATGTTACGAATGTGTTTATAGATGCTTACAAAGGTGACATTCATAGAAAGTGTTACCATGATTGTTTGCCTCAGAAAGTTGTGACATTGTTATCTGACAACATTGTGACAACCTAGTGGCAATGTTGTCAGTACTCTGTCACAACCTCTTACACACTCCTCATAAATTCCGTTACGTTGTGCATGGAAGTTGCTAACAGGCAGTCATAATACCATATGCACTGTACTGTTACTGAATAATGAGGTTGTGACAACATTGTGACAATGTTATGATCTTATGAGCCCTTTGTTGAATGGGGCTTAAAGATAAGTTTGATTAAATAATGTGAAAATTGTTGTTTCTGATGAATACATGAGAAGCAAAGCAAATATCAGCATCTCTGACATCTCTGATGACACGTTGAAGCTCAGACCCCAACTAATTGTACTTAATTTTTATCTGAAAAAAGCAAATCTTCACAGATCCTCTTTAGGTTCAGTCATTATGAAAGGGCAAAAGCACTGGTAGAATAAGTTATTTCAATATTCACACAAATGCATTTTCACTTGACTTTTAGACATTTAACAGAGAAAGAATTCCATTACAGGCTGTGGATTAAATTTGGATGTTGCCCATTTAACTACTGTACATTTTAGATGTATAAAATCAAATAGACATCATAATCTGTCAATTTATTTAATGCACAAAATACATATATTTTGTATACAAATACATGTATAAACAAAAAACACTTGTCAAAGAAAAAAGGAAGCATACAGGTGAGTTTTCTACGCTCTTTTGGTAAAATACATCTTTCTACTGTCTGCTCTCTATTCACCTCCATTCATAGAGGACTAATTCCTAATTCTGCAGTTATGTTTTTGATACAACAGGGGAAATAGGAAGAGGTCATGCAGACTCCCATAATCCGGCTCTGGGGTTTTCCAGCCTGAAGTAAACACGTTGTTGTTAATCTGAAACTGACATTTATCCAATTTGTTTACCATATTTGGTCATCAAATCATCGCAGTGGGACGGTGTCATGGCTTTAAATGTCCTGTCAAACACATTGAAGATTCACTGCTTCTGACAGAAGACAAGAAGACAAACCAACAACGTTTTACTGCATCTACAGTAAAAGCTTTCAGGTAAGGCAAAACAATGAGGTAAATGAACTAATTAAACATTGAAACTACGCTGTTGAATATGCAACAAAAAATAAATGAAGGTTAAAAACCTTATAGTATTGTATATTATATAATAATAACCCATGTGTTATTTTATTCAAAAGAAAAGATTACAAATTCTTTACGCTGACTAGTTACAAGGTTTAGCAGTTTATTTTTCTTTGACTTTTAATCTTATTTGCAAAAGACCTCATACTGTCTCATATAGTTTGTTGTTGTTGTCTATTTCCAGTCTTATATACACCGACCAGCCACTTTATTAAATACACCTGCTTGTATCTACATTCACTGTCCACTGAAAGTGTTTATCAGCTCCATTTACCATGTAGGTGCCCTTTGTAGATCTACTGTAGTCCATCTGTTTCTCTGCATACTTTGTTAGCCCCCTTTCACCCTTTTCTTCAATGGTCAGGACCCCCACAGGACCACCACAGAGCAGGTATTATTAGGATGGTGGATCATTCTCAGCACACTGATGTGGTGGTGGTGTGTTAGTGTGTGTTGTGCTGGTACGAGTGGATCAGACACAGCAGTGCTGCTGGAGGTTTTAAACACCTCAGTGTCACTGCTGGACTGAGAACAGCCATATGTAAGACATAACAGTATCCATGGCTTTTCAGAGGATCAGTTAATGCTGCCTGTGTCTTGCTATAGTCATGAACTGCAGACCCATCGAAATAGCAGCTCTGGGAAGACCTCTGTATCCTGGCATGTTGTACGACTGCCGCAGCGATGCCTTCATTCCAGGTAGAACCTCTTTGATCTTTAATGAGTAATCTTACTAGTCTATGTAAGCTCAAGATTTCCTACATCTGTTATTATATGTTTATTTTTAATGGTTGAAGATCCATAAATACTGTGCGTAAAAATGTGTTTCAAACTCAACATGTTCAGTTTTTTCATTACTAAAAATTATCTCAGGCATGGACTGCATGTGCAGTGGCAGATTATCTTCAATGCAGAAAATCATCATCATAAGAAAACCACATACAGTTTTATGCAAAAGTTTGGGCACCCCTGGTCAAATGACGTTTTGTTGATTTTCTAGGACGTTTGCTCATAATGCACAAATACTGTTTATGTGCTGAAATGCAAATTTTGCTTGTGCAAAACATATGGCACATTTTATATTTAGTGTCTATATATTTGTGTCCCCAGTATGTAACAAAATTGTGAAATTGTGCACAAAATTTGCAGAAAAATGTCCCATTGAAGTTTGTTCCATGTAGAGGAGATGCTAAATCATTTTCACTTAGAAAATCAACACTGCCTGCAATGTGACTGGAGGTATTCAAACGATTGCACACGACTGCACACCTAATGTTAAACATGTATATAAACAATAAGGCTGTGGTTTTCTCAGATGTGTTTCCAGACTACTGATTGCACTGGGGCACACAGAATTAAGGGGGCAAAAACATCAAAAAACTATGAACTATGAAAAGCAATGAATTTGCATGATCATAATATTTGTGTTGTTTTTTTAAGAAGGAGTATGTTCTTTAAAAGAACAAATACAATTTGTTTTAAAATGTAAGACCATAAAATAAATGTATGTATGCCAAAATTTCTTTCCTCAAAAGTCAACATGCTGCAATCAACATGCAGAAAGAAGTACTGTTATTGTGCAATAATAGTGAAGTATTAGATTATATCACAAAACAGACCACTGAAGACCCTCGTGGTTGTGTGAGGTTCTGTGGGTCTTTTATATCCAAATAAATCTGAAAATTTGACCTTTTTATGACACATCAACTTCAAGTTTTGGTAAATCTGTCACATTGAGCAGCTCCATTTTTTGTAATGGTTGTTCTGCCCTGATTCTCACTTGTTTAAATGAATTGTTGGAACTGCAATTAAACTCGTTACTGGAAAAAGCAATATGAATGTCAGTAGTATCTTACTATATTTTTGGTTAAAAAAATTATTTGAATCATTTGATTCCTTTAAACATCAGTGCAATCCATAGATGAATCACTTACTAAACAATCATTAGCAGCAGCTCTATTAGTGATAAATCTATTACTTCACATCATCCTCTCATTTTAGGTGTCACTCTTTGGGATAAGCAAGCATTACGTGAGGATCTAGATGTACGTCGACAGCCTAAAACGCATCTGAATTTCTCTGCTTCTGACTCACTCAGTGATAAGACCAACCTGCTGGACGTGAGCGCCTCCCTTAAAGCCAGCTTTTTGGGGGGGTTGGTAGAGGTTGGAGGATCTGCTAGGTACCTACATGATGTGAAATCATCAGAGCATCTGGCCCGGGTTACCATGAGTTATAGCCAGACCACAAGGTTTGAACAACTTACCATGGCTGAGCTTGGCAAAATCATCTATCCACAAGTGTTTGACCAGCGTACGGCCACTCATGTGGTCACAGCTGTACTGTATGGAGCTCAGGCCTTTATGGTGTTTGATTGTACAGCTGCAGATTATGATGACAAACAGAAAGTTGAAGGAAACCTTCATGTTCTGATCAAGAAGATCCCTTCCTTTTCAATAGAGGGAAGTGCAAGCCTAGAGTTGAATGAGAGTGAAAAGAAGATGGCTGAGAAAATCAGTGTCACATTTCATGGTGACTATGAACTAGAAAACAATCCCACAACATACCTGGAAGCCATAGAAACATACAAGACACTGCCTCAGCTGCTGAAAGGGGAGAACTATGGTGTACCAGTAAAAGTGTGGTTGTATCCACTCTCGCTCCTTAATGACAAGGCAGCAAAGTTGGTGAGAGAAATTAGCAACAGCCTGGTGTCTAAAACAGAACAATTGCTGGAGGAACTAGGAGAAGTAGAGAGAAGATGCAACGATTTGGTCAAAGACAGAAGTGTTGATGATTTCCTTGATCTGAAAGATCGGCTGGAAATGTTTCAAAGCTTGGTCAGTAATTACAAGATTGCATTCCAGAAGGCTCTCTCCAAAGTCTTACCAGCTATTCGGGATGGGGCACAGGAAGAGCTGGCACTGGCTAACATCCTGAGCACCCAATACAAGTCACCTTTTGCTGCAAACAATTTGAACCAGTGGTTAGACGACTTTATGACTGAATTGAACATACTGAGTTCCTATATCAGTGGGCTGAAGGACATCAGAGTTGTGACATCCTCAGGCCAACTCAAGGCCATTCTCTTTGATCCTGACGTAGATGTAGTGGTATGCTTGTCTTTCACATCTCTGAAGTACAAAGACACATTCCTAGAAGCACTGAAAGATTTTGTGAATTCTGGAGCATGTGCAAAGCTAGAGCAAGCAAACACTAAAGCATATTCTCCCCAAGTAACAGAGCCTTGGTTCAGTTCCACTGACATTTCCAAGACCATGAGACAGAACCTTTCTCTCTTTACAAGTTTCTCAAATGCCAACAAAAATAAAGAGAGAATCCAATTCGTCATTGCCTCCATCTCTGACCCTGCCAATCCTGGTACCTCCATCCAACTTTATGAAAAAGGCAAACTGACAGATCCAAAGTTCCAGCCTGTGTCCAAGCCTCCTCCACCAACAGTTGAGACCCAAGACATGACTGCAACCCTGAAGCTTCAAAAATCCCCAACTGGAGAAACACTGCGGTTCAGAGTAGAATACAGGATGGTAAAGGAAGGTGAATCTAACCCGGGGGAAGACTGGGAGACCAGAGACACTCCGGATGCAGAGAAACCTTTCGTACTGACTGGACTGCAGCCAGGGAACCAATACTTGTTCCGGTACAAAGCTGTCAGTGTGGCGGGAGTGAGTGAAGCCAGTGAATCTGTTCCTGCACAACTTGTTCTCAGTTATGACTGTGAGTAAAGTGTCTCTGATCTTTCCATGCTTCAACAGTACACTGTCTTGTATGAAGTTCCATGAAACTGAAAGAAAGGTTTGAGAAAAAGCAACTTCCATAGAACTTCCAAGTTCATAGAAAAAGCTACTAAACAGGCATGTAAAATTTTGATACTTTCAGAAGTCGAATAGATTTGGGGTGAAATTCTTTCAAAGCAAATATTAATTGTGCTGGGGCATAATGTAATATTATGTCACATTTTACATATTACATTATATAACATATTACATTTATGTTACATTAATGCTTGTTACAAGCTCCAAATGTCTGTGTCTAAGGATAGAGTTGTCCTATGTCATATTAAGCCCACTGGAATTTTGAATACTCCCAAGTTACAAAAGTTGTATGTATATCTTGCAATCTTAACAGTGCCTTTACAAATGTGCAAGTTGCCCATGCCATGAGCACTAATACACCCTGTAACATGACAGATACTGACTTTTTCACTTTATGCTGGTAACATCTATATGGTGATATGCTTAAAATCCTTGCAATCGCTTGTTGAGAAGCATTGTTCTTTTACTGTTGAATCATTCTTGATTGCATCACCTAATCTTAAATTGCCTTTGCCCCCTTTCCTGAGCGCCTGTATAGAAAACGCTGTTCAGTGCTTAGGGAAATCTGTACTCGCTTCTCAGAATATGGCCTAAACAATTATCAAATCATTGCTAGGCATCTTGGTGGGTGGTACTGGAGGAACTGAATTCCTTTTTTTGCATGAAGATATCAGCATGATACTGAGGATGATCATGGTTACACTGAGCAAAAATACGGTCAGTGATTTTTTTTTTTCTTCTTCCATTACGTTTCTTATTCTTTCTCTAGCATTTCTGTTTACTGTACTTTACAGATCCAAACAGTGCATCTCTAAAGGTTTGGTTGTTCAGATGAAGCTGCTGTCCAAATACATGATACTCTTCTGATTCACCCTATGGATATTGAAGTTAACACAGTTGCAATATATGAAAGTAATAAGATCTTCTTCTCTTTTGTAGGTGGATGCTATCAAGGTAACACTCCGCAATAATCAGGAGAGGGATTTTGGTGTAGTAAAGGTCCCGCTATTCCAGGAATTCATATTTCAGGAAGGGGATCGTTTCCGTTCGCTGACCCTGTGGCCAAACAAAGATGGAAATCGTCTTGGAGGTCTTTCCTTTAAGGTTGTGAGGAAAAAAGGGCAGACTGAAGAATTCTCTGCTAAAATTTCAAACTTGGGCCAGCCTGTGCGCGTTGACGTGGGTTCAGGGCTATGTTATGGATTTAAAGTGAGATGTGGGGTGGACATTGATGCTTTTGGCTTTATTTTTCAAAAGTGATAAGCAATAGTCAACTAGTAGTCAACTTCACGCCAATGTGACACTTTGATGATGCAATGTTTATGAATAGAGGAATGAAAAGGAACCTTTAAAAAAGTCCAAAAAGTCAACTTCAAATAATTTAAGCACAATGATGCAGCAAATAGACAGAAAAAGAAGGTCACTCTGATTTCACTCTTAAAACAGATGGATCTTCAAAGGTTCTTTGGTAAAGACACTGGTTCTATATAGAACCATGAACACCCAAAGAACCATTTGCATGCTTAAATGGTTCTTTGCATGGTGAAACGGTTCTTCAGATTGATGAAGAATGTGTTGCATATGGTTCTACATTGAACCTTTTTGAAATGGTTCTATAAAACATGCTATCAAGCTTGAAATACAGATAAAGACCGAACACTTTTTGGTGCCACATAGAACCATTCTCAAAAAAGGTTCTTTATAGAACCATATACAATTCTCCATCTATCCCAAGAACCATTTAAGCACACAAATAAGTGTGATAATACATAAATATAAAATATATATAATATAAAGCCACTGTCTTTATAAAGTACCCTTGAAGAACCATCTTTTTAAGAGTGTAGGTATTCACACAGCATTATATTAGAAAAAAAAAAAAGCATTTCAATAAGTACATTGGCTCTTATCACAGTTTAGTGAGGAAAAAGATCATCAAAAATTTGTCTATACTTTTTAAAGTTTTGTTATTCGTCAGGTTCATCATGGGCACGTGTGATTATACTCACGTCTCGTAAATTCTGGTGTAACAATTTTACAGCCTGGAAAATGCTTGATTGCAGTTAAGGGGCAGGGACAGGTTATTTCCAATTATCAAATATATAATCATTTAGATTTATCAGTTGTGTTCAAATCATCACTTGTTTTAATGTTATATGACAGTTTCATGAATCTGCACTCTGTTATGTTGATTAAGAGCCCTTATATTTCATGAAATCATTACGTCATGCTGTAAGTAGGCATGATATCTGTAATTGTAGTTGTAAGGCTTAACACATCTGTGAAACCAACTAACTAAGCCTTTGCATGCTAACTCACGCTTCATTGTGATTTGCAAAATATACTTATGATGCCTAACCAGCACTTATTTTGTCTTATATTCCTTCACAATTATGTTTTTAAGGCTGATTTAATAAAAATTCTCATTTGAGATTGTTGTCTCTCTTCATTCTAACTCTTTCAGTGACCTCGGCTCTTTTGGATAAGATGACTTAAATATCTTTACTTTTTTAAGCTTTAATTTACACTGAAAATACACAATTCTTTTAAAAATATTCAAAACCCTCCTGTTGTATTAAAGTCAATGCCTCCCTTTTTTGTTTTGTTTCAGCCAGTTATAAATTATTATAAAGCAATTACAAAACCAGGAATATCACATTGCATCTTCTAAACAACTACATTCCTATTATGTCTTTTAACCAGCTACACTTCTAGAAGTTATCATAGGTTTTACACTCTTTTTGGAATGTATGGCATCATTTACCTGAACTTATATCACACTTTTGAGTAAAATAAACAGAATTTATGTGTTACTTGGACTACAGTAAAAACCAGAGGAAGACTTGAATATCAAATATAAATGAATTTTAAAGAGCGTGAAAGGTTTAGCCAGTGTACTTGCTTTAAAATCATTTATCATCTATGATCATAAAATCATGTGTTTTTGGTCAAAACTGACTGGTACCACTTTATCTATAAAAAACAGACCATTAAAAAAGTGTTTCAAAGAACATGTTTGCAAAGATGAGGATCTCTCTTAGGTTATGAGGCAAAATGAGCAGTATCACTGACCACTGTGCATGTTTTTGTGCAAGCGCTGGGATGAGCTCCAGCTCCACCCGTGACCCAGAGGAATAAGCGGCTTAGAAAATATGTGTGTGTGTTTGTGCAAGACAGGCAAACTGTGGTAACAACAGCATTGAATGTACAAATATATTTAGCATACTACATTTCTGAATGAATTTTATTGAGCCCGAAATTGCAGTGTTACAGTAAAATATATATATATATAACTAAGAACTGCAGCAGTATTTATAGTCTAAGGTGCACAGTGAGAGTGTCTTAACAGTACATTGCACAGTCAGTAACATAAGAGGTAATATAGTGATGTGAATTCAGCACAGTTCAGACAGCAGGAGATCAGTACCATCTCTGCAGTAAGGTGACTCATTGTAGAGCCGTATAGCAGTGGGTAAGAAAGATCTTACACAGCGCTCTTTAACGCAGCGCAGCTGTAACAGTCGGCCACTGAATGTGTTTCTCTGTTTTCCAGTGTAGCATGCAGGGGGTGAGAGGTGTTATCCAGGATGGCTAACAGTTTGCTGAGAGCCCTTTGTTCTGCTACAACCTCCAAAGAGTCCAGCTTGACTCCTACAACAGAGCCAGCCTTCCTAATAAGTTTGTTAATTTGTTCAGAGCACTTTTGTTAATGCTGCTGCCCTAGCACAGCATAGAACAGAGCACTCGCTACAACAGACTGGCAGAATGTCCATAGGAGCTTTGTGAACACCAAAAGACCTCAGCCTCCTCAGGAAGCACAGGCAGCTTTGGCCTCTCTTGTACAGAGCCTGAGTGTTACAGTTCCAATCCAGTTTGTTGTCCAAGTGCACACCCAGATACTTGTACGTCCCCAACACCTCCACATCTGCTCCATTAATAGTGACTGGTGACAAGGCAGGTTTGGACTTCCTAAAGTCCAGCACCTCCTTAGGTCTTACTGATGTTTGGCTGCAGCTGGTGCAGCTTACACCAGTCAACAGAGTCCTTCACAAGCTTCCCGTATTCCTCCTCTTGTCCGTTCCTCATGCACCCCACAACAGCTGTGTCATCAGAGAATTTTTGCAGATGACATGACCCTGTGTTGTAGCTGAAGTCAGAGGTGTACAGATTAAACAGAAATGGGGCTAATACAGTCCCTGGGCTGCCCCAACACTGCACACAGCCTTGTCTGAGACACAGCCCTGCAATTGCACACACTGAGGTTGTCCAGTAAGATAGTCCATTATCCACAAGATGATGGATTCATCCACCTGCATCAGCCAAAGCTTCTCACCTTACAGGACGGGCTGTATGGTGTTGAATATCTAAAATTTACAATATTTCTATACACTGAACCAAAAAAAAGAGCAATGAACGATAAAAATAGTAATTTAAAAATATTATTTGAGACAAGGGCTCAATAAAATAAACAGATGAAATACAGTAAATATTCCAGTATCTGAGTTAAACACGTGAGTGTCTGAGTGAAATTTGTCAGTAAGTTCACTAAGTTAAAGCTGCCTGTGTCTAAACAGAATATTGATTTTTAAACTCTACATTGGATTTCAGTGGCTTTAAAACTTTATATTAAACAAAATAATAGGCACCTAAGCCACACACCAGCTAGGAAAACATCTGGGTATGAAAGAGCAGATAGCATATCCAGATCATTAGTCCACCCTTTGTATGAGTCTACACTGTCAGTATAGATACTTTTATCCATAAATCTCCGTTTATCATTCCTCTCTAGTTGGTTCAGATAAATCCCATCTCATTTTAATCACTTTTTACAGGACAAGTCTGAAAATCACAATGAAATTCTTTATATCTCTTATTGCGTATGTCACAGTTGTAGAATTGTGGCATGTAATTGACGAACTAACCCTGAAAATATGGCTTAACGATCCCCCCTAAATAATCATCACTTCTACAGCATAGCAAGGAAAGTATCTATGAAACCAACAAAGTATTACTGAACAAAACGTTATTTTTCATTACAGCTCACAGTTAAAAGTGAAAAGTTAAAAATAAAATACATGAGATGCCCACAAATGTTTAAAGCTCTAATTAATAATTAATAACAGAAAATTACACATATACATACTTAAAGGGACTTGTGGCAATTTACAGAAACAGGACTGGTATAATATCGTTTTTGATATTATCTCTCTTTATGAGATTGAATATGTAAAATTAAATAAATAAACACACACAGGACTTTGTTACAGATGCGTTTATTAATGCTGAACACATAATGCATTCATAAGGTGTTTGTTCTGAGCTGTTCAAACAGACTTCTGGGTCTGAATCCCTGATGAACAAGCCAAGGGCGACAGCGGCAAGGAAAAACTCCCAGACGTGAGGAAGAAACCTTGAGAGGAACCAGGACTCAACAGGGGAACCCATCCTCCTCGGGTCGACACCAGATTGGAAAGACAGTGAAAGCTTCGTCATCAGAAAAGGAAGGTAGGGATGGAAATTTATAGAGTGTTATAAAACAAGAGTTTACAACTTCATAATGTCAGGATTCTTAACACATTATAGTATCTGTTCATCAGAACATTGTAAACATGAATGATTTTTTACATTATATATACTTATAATGAGGTTATTGTATATGTTCTGCAGAGTCAGGCCTTCATCCAGCCACACATTTATTGGGTATTGAAGATATTAAAACAATTCTGTATGGAGTTGGAGAATGGGGGCTGATTTTTGGTGGACCCGGCACTGCGCCAAATTGATTTTAATAAGAATACATTTTTAGACATCATAACTTTTATCTGTAATTTGGATTTGATACCCTTTTTTTATCTATCTGGAAACTGTAATGTCAGGCTAGCTGGTGCTAGACTGTTAGCATTTAGCAACCAAGGCTAAATCAGTAGCAGCTCAGATAGCTGACAGTGGAGACAATCAGTAAATGACATCTGACTTTTTTAGGAACACAGGTAACTTTAGCAACGGCCTTAAGATAGATTTGCTAATTAAAGCCTTAAACAATTCCTGCATTTGGAGAATATAATTTAAAAGACATTTAAAAAGTTTTCCACCACTTAAAGCCTGTAATGTTCTGGTACAAAGCTCTATAAAACGATATTAAACTTAAGTGTATACACTGTTCTTTTGAAGAGATATCATGTTGCATTATCCTACATTGTTGAAGTCATACACTCTTGCTTTATAAAGTGTTATGTGTGTAATTATAACTATTTAACAGTTCATACAAGCTTATGCCTGGTGTTATAAGATGTTATTTAGACCGTACAACACCTTATAAATGCATTTTGCTACATTATGATTACAGGACTAATTGGAAACGTTACCACAGCAACTTGAAAAGCAGTGCTTAAGATGGTCGAGTCATGCACTGGAAGGGGTTGGGCAGAGCTCTGCGTACAGCCTCGAAGATCCTGGACAGACATTTCCGTGTTTTCTTAAAGGGTTT